GCTGCCTTATTTCGTCCACCACGGTAGGACATTTTCCCGCGCCACTCCAGTATTAACCCTTCTGGCATCATTGCAGCACACAGTACTGCAGCATAAGGACCAGGTCTGTATCCACATGCTTGCAGCATCTGCTCCCTTTCCACCTCTGTTATCCTCAGGAGAGTGATATTGCATAGGCTCACCTATGGGAAACGAGGGAAGTTTTAAATGCTAGCCCTTAAACCGCAAGCAATTCGATAAGTAATCCGCCCCTATCTGGTGAATTCTGGGTCACACAACGACACTTCCCCAAGCATACCTTGGTTGTGGTTGGAAGGGATCACCGCGTACTGCAGCCAGCATTTAAAAAGAGGGGGGGTGCTTCCTGTTTGTCTCCCTTCTCCCCCAACCCGGTGCCACTTTTGTAACAATCAAACTATTTGCGGGGCTTTACGCTGGTGCCTGTCCTCAAGCACCATCCAGGCTGCTAGAGGAAAGGGGGTTGTGTTGAGGTTGCAACCATTGATCCCAAGGATGTCTTAACAAAAGCTGCAGCAGAAGACCTCTTGCCCATGCCTCATGGCCTTACTCACCATGGCTGGAGCAGCAAACTGATTCTTGCAGTAGCCTGCTTTTCTGCTTAAGTTGTGGCTTGCAGGGAAGTACATTGAGGGGTGTTTCTTTTATAAAAAGATTTAACTTTGCACCAGAAACAATGTATGCACTGTCAATGCTACCCTGGTGCTTTGTATTCTTTGCAGCTGAGACCTTGTCTGTAGGCGCATCCTCCACGCCGGGACACAGACATTCCCAGATTAGAAGGCGGAAAAAGAAGACTTGGGAGGACATGTTCAATGAGTTAATGCGTGCCTCTGAGCGTGATGAGACGGAGCTCAGCACATGGAGGATTGCACTGTCGGAGAGCCTGCACAATGACTGCGAGGACAGGAGACCATACAGGGAACACAAGCGTGACACGCAGGACGAGATGTGCGGATTATGAGGGAGCAAACAGACATGTTGGGGCATCTGGTTGAGGTTCAAGAAAGGCAGCTGGATGCTAGAGTCCCACTGTAGCCTATGCTGAACCTGCTGCTATCATTGCCAAGTTCCAAATCCACTTCTCCTATGAGGCGTTCTATGAGGCGAGGAGTTTGGTATCCCTTGCACTCAACTCCAGGGGAGGGTACAAGGACCAGAATGCGCCCATTCCCACGCCTTTGATGGTTGTTGCAGTGCAATTGTAAGCAAGCTGTCCTTGTTTCCCCCGCCCCCTCAGTGTTATCAGCCATTTTGCCCCAGGTTATCTTACTTTTCTTTGCTGTCTCTCAGTGTTTGTGAACATAATAAAACTTAATGGATTGAGAAGAAAAGGCTCTTTATTCATTCAGCACACAGCAGTTAGCGGGGTGCAGTTTACAGGGGAGTACATGCAATGAAGGGGACAGCTAGGTAAGGAACAACACACATAAGTGTCACATTACTGTTGGTCATTGATGAAACTAGTTTTCAAAGCCTCACAGAGATGCAGAGTGCCTCGATGTGCTCTTCTTATTGCCCTAGTGGTTGGCTGCTCAAAATTGGCTGACAGGCGATCTGCATCCACCTCCCACCCCGCCAGAAACTTTTCTCCCTTTGTTTCACAGATATTATGGTGCACACAGCAGGCAGCAATAACAATGGGGATATCACTTTCACTGAGGTCTAACCTAGTAAGCAGACTAAACCAGGGGTCTTTTAAACACCCAAGGGCACATTCCACCACCATTCTGCACTTGCTCAGCCTATGGTTGAACCAGTCCTTACTGCTGTTGAGGCTGCCTGTGTACAGTTTCATGAGCCATGGGAGCAAGGGATAGGCTGGGTCTTCCAGGATCATAATTGGCATGTCAACATCACCAATGGTTGTTTTGCAGTCTGGAAAGAAAGTTCCTGCTTGCAGCTTTCTGAACAGACCGGAGTTCATAAAGATGCGTGTGTCATGCACCTTTCCCGACCATCCCACGTTGATGGTTAAAACAGCCCCTGTGATCCACCAGCACTTGCAACACCATTGAGAAGTACCCTTTTGATTTATGTACTCTTTGGCAAGGTGGTCAGGTGCCAAGATAGGGATATGCATTCCGTCTATCGCCCCACCACAGTTAGGGAACCCCATCACGGCAAAACCATCCACTATGTCCTGCATGTTGCCCAGAGTCACTACCCTTCTTAGCAGAAGTCTGTGGATTGCCCTGGAAACTTGTATCACAGCAGACCCCACAGTAGATTTACCCATTCCAAATTGATACCCCACTGACCGGTAGCAGTCTGGCGTTGCAAGTTTCCACAGAGCTATCGCCATTCGCTTCTCAACTGTCAAAGCAGCTCTCGTTTTAGTATTGCTGCACTTCAGGGCTGGGGAAAACTCTTCGCACAGTTCCATGAAAGTGGCCTTGCGCATTTGCAGCCACTGCTCATCATCCCACAGCTGCATAACTATGTGGTCCCACCAGTCAGTGCTTGTTTCCCGAGCCCAGAAGCAGCGCTCCACCATGTAAAGGTGATGCACAACTGTCACCAGCATCTGCAAATTGCTCCGCTCCATGGCTTCTAGCAGGGCTGCTTGCATGGCATCACATTGTTCTGCGTGGCGGCTCCTTTATCAGCTGAGCAAATACTGCAGGATAAGGCATGAGGTGTTTGTAATGCTCAAAACAACAGTGTACAGCTGAGTGGGGTCCATGCTTGCTGTGCTATGGCGTCTGCGCAGGTAACCCAGGGTTAGGGAAAAAGGCACGAAAAGGGCTTGGTTTGTTTGCTGTTGATTTCAAGGAGGGAGTGAGGGAGGTAAGTGCATCATGGCAAGCTAATGCCATGTTCCCATAACCACCCGCGCAAATGTTTTGGTCCCATGAGGCATTTGCAAGCCCAACCCAACATTCCACTCGGCTCCATGCACTGTGGGATAGCTACCCACAGTGCAGTGCTCCGTGCGTCGATGCAAGCCCTGCTAGTGAGGATGTGCTCCGCGACACAATGTGCATAGTGGGGACATGCAGAATCGACTGACTTAAATTGGAGGCTCAATGTCGACTTAAATAAAATCGACCTAATTTTGTAGTGTAGACATACCCTTAGATAATATTACCCATTTTCATGCTGCGGCTCCCACCTCCATTTTTTATATGGGTATTAACCTCATTTGCTGCAAAGGAGACACAGGCGACTGAATTCAGGCGTTGGCAGGTAAATGAAGATGGAGCTGGTTTTCAGCTGTCTTGTTTTAAAGTTAATTTATTTGTATTTAGAAGTCTACACACAAACACATTGGGTTACAGATTTTGGGATCTTAAACAGCTTTCATAAAGGAAACGTTACTTCTTGTTCAACTTCAAATAAATAACTTAGTAGTTCCCCATGTCCTTTTACCAGTTTCTAGTGAAAATTGAGTGAATCTGTTTCAGGAAAACTATGTCTGGATGAATAGAGTAATTGAGAGACTAAATAGCTTCATAAAAGCAGAGTGGATCAGCAATCCCAGTGACTTAAGGTCTTTATTTTGCAACAAAATGCTTTGGCTCTTATAAGAATCTATAATACTTACATAATGTATAATACATTAATTTTTAAAAGTTGAAAACACCAACTCCAATTTAATCTGCCCTTGTTTGGCACTGAATAATGATATTTCTAATTACTACATTTACATTTGATGGTAAAAAACCTGCATTTTCATAGAGTATCCAATTAATGTTGGGATATGTGTCCTGCCTGTAGCAAACTGATAACCTGGAGGATAAAAATGTTTTAAAAAGTTGTGGAGTGTTCCATGTATAGCTGTGGCCCCATAGGCAGTAATATACCAACAACTCCTTAACTTTAACAACATGCTGGCCAAATAATACATGACTTGATCCTCCAAGGATCCAATTATCTCTTGAGAGATGCGGGGTGACGGGTGTGGAGGGTGCTGGTACTTTGCAGGAGGCGCACAGACCGCTGCAGGATCGGGCACACCGTTTGTAAGGGGAACGGTAACACCAGTCAGTTAGAGCTACTAGTGCAGCTCTGCTAGTTAAAACCAGCGATGACATGTCTCTGTTCTTCTCATAGTCCTTTAACTGAGTTGGATCTTGCTCAAGGGCAAAGCACCCATTGACTTTAGGTGAAGCAGGATTGAGCCCAACGTACAACTATTCCCACTGGATCACGTTCTGTAATGATGCTATAATGTAATAACCTGGAACAATTTGGAGGCTGCAATAACAAATCAATCTTTGCATTCCATATCATATCACTGCCAATTTAATGGGACTAAACCCACGTCAGGTGTGCTGGAGACCTCATAGAATTCTGCTTTGCAATAATAATAATTGCTTTATGACAGTAACCGAATACAGGACTCTGTTTTAATCAAGGAAGCTACTGTATTACATTTAGACACAATGGAGAGTTACTGAGAGTATATCATACCAATTATGTAAGTGTGTATGGGTCTGTTCTCTATGCTGGGATCAGTCCTGTAAACCCCTATTCCCCTGGGGCTAGGTTATGCCATTTCAGCACAGCCTAAACTATGGGGGTGTGTGGAGCATTGGGAGGCATCTAGGCTCAACATATGTGACTCTGAAATCCCTAGAGCAGGAGGAAGGCATGCCCACTACTACACCTCTTAATAGGGTACAGCTTATTCTCCCACCATGCATACTGAGCCCATTCCATAGTGTGGAGGAGAGGCTGGGCCATGGCCTCACCTCCCCCCAGCTCTTCTTATCCTCATTGGGACACTGTGCATCACTGGTGAAGTAGGGAGAGAGCAGGCTCTGTGAAGGGACTGTGACATTGCCTGGCCCTTACAAGGCCATACCAAGAAGGATTCGCCTTGCTCTGCCACCCCACTGTGCATCCATGTAAGGAGAAGGCAGAATCTGGCTCTTCACTAGTTCTGACCGATGTAAGTAGCTCCACTGAGGTAAGAACTCCTCATGCCTATAAGGGCTCTTAATACAGGCAATCAGCTGCCAGTAACAGTAATGGGAGTTATGTGTCTCTCAAGGAGAGAAAAGGCTGCTCAGATTGTATTTGCTCCATTAACAATAAGCTAAAGTAGCACTGAAGTGTGGAAAGGAGGTGTGCTGTATTTGTGATGCAGAGGCAGAAACCATCCCCCTGAGAAGCAGGTAGTCCTGTCAACTGCATGCAAGTAGGTTCTAAAAATATCTTTACAACATACAGTACAGCTTGAGTTTACAACTGTGCATATTTATTCTAGTTGCTTTTGCTAAATAAAATTAAGCAAATATGTCAAAGTGTATGTGAAAGTTGACTTGTAGAGGCTTTATACAGAAAGATTCAATGAATAGGTATACATAGACAAAATTAATGTTTGTTAACAAAAGAATTATTTTAGTTTTGTTTTAATAACATAATTTAAATACTGAAATGACATCACAATTAAAAACAAAACAAACAAACAAAAAACCCCACCCAACAACTTTAAAATTAGCCAAGGCGCCAATTTGTCTATTAAATCAGTGTGGTGGCATTTTTGTGAAAGCGATCTTGTCCAGAAGGCGCTATCCAGTGAAAAGTCAACGACACACTAACAAAGGGAAATCCAGGTAAGAGGGATACAACTGCAGAGAAGAATTAGAACATCCACCTAGAACCAGATTTAAATTTGGCAGGAAGACGATGGGTATGAATGGATGTGTATATGTATGAGAGAAAGGCAGCATTACCAGTACATACATGAAGCTACGACCAGATGCCATTTTCTATGCTCCAAGATGAAAAGCATCGTAAATAAAAGGGGAAATGGAAACTAAAAAGAGAAAGAAAAATCAAAGAGAACTTTAAAAGTCACCTCTTTCATGATTAATAGTCCTCAATGGTAAACATTGCATGCACTATTTCCCTCAAAAGCTGGACAAAGTTGTTCCATTCCCAATGTATTTCCTTCATTTCTTTTCATGAAGAAAGGTTTGAGAAAGCAGATCGCTGGGAAGAAATACTACAAACTTCTAAATTAGTGAAAGAACTTCCAGCATCACTAGTGTATTCTGGGTAGGAGGCACTGGAAGAGATGATGTTTTTCAGCCTCTGAAGTGCAATGATTAATAGCAAAAGAAGAAATGCTAAGAGACTGAGAAATATAGAAACATAGACATAGACATTTGATAAGCGGCCAGATGAGGAATCCACTGAAGTTGACAGGGATGTGGGATATAGCTCCAGAAAAGTCCCATTTTCCATGTTTCCTACTAATCCAGATGAAGGGTCAAGTTCTGACATTTTGCGTGTGTGTTTTTAAGGGAATAGATGTTGTAGTCAAAGGCAGTTTCAGAAGTATAAAAAATGCTGTATTCTAGATTCTTTCATTTTTCCATCACAACATAGACATGAGTCACCCTGTGATCAGAGTTATTCTTCACTTCTCAAACCCACAGGTCATATAAGACGCTGTATCTTTCAGTCCTGAAAGAAAAGAAAAATAGAATTAATTTACTATTAGACCATGTGCTTTAAGTGTTCACTTGAGGCAATATAATTTTAAAAACAGTAAATTATTTCCCCATAAAGTTAACCTCAAGAACTTAAAAAAGAAAAGAAAAAATAAATCAGTATCTGTTGCTTTATGGTCTGATTTCTCCAAAAAACAGGGGTAGAAGGAAAATTCTGCACATAAATTTCCCACAGCTTTTACTAGAGATTAGCCAAATCCAAAACTCCTGATCCAAACGGCTCTGAATTTGGTGTGGGAGAAAGTCTTGGACTGCAAACCCAGATCCAGATCCAAATTTCTCACTGACTATATCCACATGGAGCCAAATGAACCCCAGAATTTTGTAGAGGAAGGAGATGTTTCATAATGAAGATCCAGATCTGAATTTAGTGCCTCAGGCCATCTATATTGATGTCATCTACAGTCATGTTTGCCAGTTCATGCGTCATGTGATGCCCCAACATAAACTAAACTGGTGATATCCCAGCTACTCCCAAACCCTGTTGGAGCATGGTGCTGGCCAAATAAATGCTGTTTCATAATCTATGGTGAAGGTTTGTGATACAGTATGAATTCTTTGCTATGGGGAATCTTTACAAAATGCAGGAATTCAGGAATTGGCCATCAACTATCTGTTTCCACACCAGAATTTTTTTTTTTAAATCCTTGTAAAGAGTTAAACTTGTAATCCTAGAGTCAGGTTTTTAAGCACGGTGACAGATGGTAAACCCACTACCACTATTAAACCTATGTCTCTGTGATGTCTTGTCTGAGGTAACCAGAACCAGAGAATTTGCTGTGGCTTATTTATTTTACATTTATAAAATGTGCTGATCTAATTTCACAAAGTGCATATACAAAGATTAAAATGCAAGAATCAAGTCATTACCAGGCTGATCTGCTATTGATAAGGTGGCTTCAATAAAATAACTTCTCAGCCAAAAACTGCACCTTTTCCTTCCGACACCCACAATTCAGCAAACTTGGCCTCAATCTAAGGCAGGGGTGGGCAAACGTTTTGGCCTGAGGGCCACATCTGGGTATAGAAATTGTATGGCGGGCCATGAATGCTCACGAAATTGGGGTTGGGGTGCGGGATGAGGTGAGGGCTCTGGCTGGGGGTGCGGGCTCTGGGGTGGGGCTGGGGATGAGGGGTTTGGGGTGTAGGAGGGTGCTCCAGGCTGGGACTGAGGGGTTTGGAGGGCGGGAAGGGGATCAGGGCTGGAGCAGGGGGTTGGGGCATGGGGGGGGTGGCTCAGGGGTGTAGGCCCCGAGCAGCACTTACCTCAAGTGGCTCCCGGAAGCAGCGGCATGCCCCCCTCTGGCTCCAACACGGAGGTGCAGCCAGGAGGCTCCGCTGCGTGCTGCCCCATCTGCAGGCACTGTCCCTGCAGCTCCAATTGGCCGCGGTTCCCGACCAATGGGAGCTGTGTGGGTGGCGCTTGGGGCTGGGGAAGAGTACGGAGTGGAGCCCCCTGACTGCCCCTATGCATAGGAGCCGGAGGAGGACATGCTGCTGCTTCCAGGAGCTGCACAGAGCGGCCCCCGACCCTGCTCCTCAGCTGGAGTGGGTCAAGCCCCAGACCCTGCTCCCCAGCGGGAGCTCGAGGGCTGGATTAAAATGGCTGGTGGGCCAGATCCAGCCCATGGGCTGTAGTTTGCCCACCCCACTCTAAGGGCTCATCTAGACAAACACTTAGTTCACTGCACTCTGGGGTGCAAATCTACCCTGCACTAACGTGCCACACAGTAAGATGCCTGTGTGGACCCTGCTGCTGCACACTACACGCTATCTAGTGCGCTTTAACTTACTCCTGTTTCAAAACCAGGTCAATCAAAGCACACCACAAAACTTTCCATGGGTGGTAGGCTGGCAGAAGGGTCCGCATTGACACTTAAAGTGGGGCAGGCTAGTGCAGGGTAGATTTATACCTCAGCATGCCATGAACTAAGACTTAAGGTTTGTATAGACAAGCCCTAAGAGAGTGGATTCCATAGATGAGGAGGGCCCTTCAACTGAAAATACTTTGCTTCCAGACCCCTCATGTTTAAATCTGGAGGCTCAGGTGCCTCAGATGATCCCAACAGTCAGGGTAAAACTGAGGCAAGAGGAGGTCTATACTAGTGGCTTCTGCACCATGTAGCTAATCCCCAGTGTAGGTATGCTGCACCAGAGTTAGAACGGGCTTAGTGAGTAGAAAATGGGTGTAAAATGCTAATATTCTGTTTTGGTAGCTCTGTACACCACTGTCCATTAACTTTGTACTCATGTCAATAGCTACTCAAGCGATAAGGCATTGGAGAATCACACCAACTACCTATCTATCTATCTACATGTACATCCATCCTTTGAATGCACCTGCTGAATCCTCTTATATTGTTGGGGAAAGGTAGTAACCTTTTCTTCCCCTATAAGAAGAGAACATCTACAGCATGAAGCTGAAGAAGACGGGGTCCCACCTATGACGAACTTGCTTTGAACCTTAAACTTTAGTTTCAATTCAGTTTAGGTATTTTTAACCTTCATTTCCAGGCTTTGAGGAACATTTTTATCTACTCTTTTTAATGCTTTGTAGAGAAGAGAAGGATTTTCCCTTGCCAAGATTTTCCTTCTAAACCTACATTTATTAGGTTTGTATCTGCACCTTTCTACTATATCAGTGAGCATTCTATACTCTCAAACCGGGGAAAGTAACCAAAGTTGATTTTACAGATGCCTTAAGGCTCTGATGTATCCAACCCTGCACAGGTGCAAAAGAGAGGAGGAAGAACACAAGTGACTCTTTCATTGTTGTGTCCCTGAGAAAGGGCAGGTAAAATTGTAGTCTAGGTATGGAAAAGACTGTGAAAGATTAGTGTCACTAACAGCTCTAGACTATCCAGAGGGACCAGGGAGGAGCCTGGACCAAGGAGCCCAGGTTGAATGCTGTTCAAAACTAACACAGCCGTCATTTTCCCCTGACCTCCAGGAGGCACTGTACCCTATCTAACCCTAAGCCTCTTTGCACATGTCCAGTTCAGAATCAGCCATGAGTGAAACAGGAAGTTGAACTTTTGATGCAAGGAACTCTTCAGCCTTCATCTGACATCATCTTAAAGGGCAAAGAGATTACCCAATAGTAAAACAAAACAAAACAAAAACACACAAATAAAACCCTTAAATAAACTGAATTACCTGTTCCTAAAATAAGTGGTTTTTATTACAGACTACATTGGCCGTCTTGAGAGGCCTCACATTTTCAAATGCAACTAGTTTTAACTAAACATTGATATCGTTATTAAGGCCCAGTTCTGTCATTGTTACTGCCATTGAGTAGCATCTTACTTCATAGATAATCCCCTGTGACTTCACTAAAGCTTCCTGCAGTGTAGGTTCTATGCTGTGTAAATAGCAGTGGCAGAATCAGGCCCTTAAAATAATGATGTTATCACTTTGTCGTCTTTTTTGGATGTCACACTAAAGCATCTTGCTATGTTTCCATGAAAATGTTCCAACACTCTTGCCCATAATGCTCCACCTTATAATTTTACCTTTGAATTTATATTTCCTGTCAATTCTCCTAACTTAATTAAGAATCTGTTTCTTCACGAGGCTGACACTTTCACTGCCTGTGAGAAAAGCAAGAAATTGTACTAATGATCCTCAAGAAGGATGAAATAAGTTTCTGCTGATGCTGTTTCTTCTCTGGCAGACTAATAAAAGCCTAAGAAGACACCTATTGAGAGTGCTAAAAAATCTGACTTGCAGTTTCTATAATAATTAGCATAGAGTTACCCATCATGCTTTGCACTGTAAATTAAATTTAGGAGAAACACTATACGCCATAAACAGCCCTAAGTATCCAAGTAATAATGACTAAACTAAGCAGTAAAGAGTCTTTTAATATTACAATTCTTTTCTGTAAACCTTAATTTGTTTTCCATACCTAGACTCCAGTGTGAGTGAATGCAATCTAAGTGTCTCCATAGATAAATAAATAATTACACTGTGGTATGAAATCTGCCTTGGTTTTATTGCACACACTTTTGCCATTCTTAATCAGGCATCCAAATGGCCTAAATTGTGTCCACAAAATAATAGAGGTGCAAAAATGCACCTGCAAATTTCAGGCACAAAAAAGAAGGCCGGGTTTTGAAAATCTGACTCTTTTGGTATATATCTTTATACTGATTCATAAAATATGTTGACACAAACAATTGTTTTAACCCCAATATTATTTACAGCAACGAATAATATTTAAAGTACACTGTGAAACCAGTTATATTAGACTCAACAGGGAGAGATTCTCTTTTACTTTAGTGGCACAAAGTGAAGTAATGGGATAAAATGTAATGATTTCTCAGTCTGTAATTACTTAAATGTCTTATGGCTAGATTATGTTTAAAAAGATACGCTTTGATATAAAAGATTTTGTCCTTGATTAATCATCACAGTGAACAGCAGATCAGTTGTTAATTGCATTTCTCTATAATAATCTAAGAAACTAATTCACGCTTGTTTTAATTTTGTAAAACATGGGAGATTTATTCAAAATTCTTTATAAAACTTTAAATCTGGTATGTCTTACTTTTGCAGTTAAGAATTATGGACCAATTCAACAAAGCATTTTAGGCCCATGCTTAGCTTTAAGCACCCAAGTTGTTTCAGTTACTTCAAGGAAACTAATCATAGGCTTAAAGTTAAGCATGCATATATATATATATATATATATAGAGAGAGAGAGATGACTTGCTGTATTGGGGGCCTTTATGCTCAATGTAGAGTACAATATCAATTAGATTGCTGTTTTTTAAAAAACTGAATATTGTGTATCAATATCATAGACAGTATAAAATCTTATATTCCAATGGGCTA